TTCTTCCATTGCCTTTCATATAGAAGGCCCATTCAAGAAATTTTAAGTAAAACAAAGAAATAATGACTACGTGAATAAAGATAACAGGAATAACACAGTTGTGTGGGGGGGGCAGTGGGAAGAAAAGATGTAGGACAGAATAAGGGAGACAGATTATGTTTATGTGTCAGCCATGGCAGAAAACCAAACAAACAACTTAGTCAATAGCACAGGATGACGGTAGAAGAAATGGAAGGTGATGGATCAGGAGATATCTCAATGGTATAGTACTGCCCCCGCATTTACTACTATGTCTACTCACTAGTTCAACCCCAAAGTACATTCACGAGCCAGGTGGGGAGGGGAGGGGAGCTCAGAAAGGCAACGGGAAAATAGTAATGTCACCAACGTAGGACAAACCACTGGACTTGTTCAGAAACAGGCCCCTGAGGACAGCTAAGCAGTTTCCCATGGAGTTCTAGAGAAAGGAAGCAGACACTATGGGCTTAAGGAATGTGAGGATATAGAGAAAGCATGTAGGGAGACTTTATTCCTCTCTGAGCCATGAAAAGCAGACTTTGGAGAGGTGAACTCAAATCTTCCCAAGATGTGATGACTAGGGCATGCTTAATGGCATGGAAAGTGAGAGGTGAAACAGGCTTATACTGGACCAAGCCAACACTTCTAGGGGGCAGCACACATACTGTGCCCAAGCTTGTAAAATGTAAGTGTGCCACAGGTCAGCTAGCTTTTCCGTAAAGGGAACAAGCAGTATTGAGTCAGGAATTCCTTCCTAGGACGCATCTGGTGGTACCAGACATGAGCCAGGAAGATCTAGAACGAGGACGTATGAGAGCCTATTAGCAACTAAAGAGCACACAATGAACGGAGATGTGAGGAAATAGGAAATGATTTTCAAGAGTGCACGAGTTCAAAGAGCACGAGAAGACTGAGAAGACTGGACGGGCAATACAGTTCTCAGAGACACAATGGAAAAGATCTGTTTAGTTTCCGGAAGGCCGGCAATTAAAACAAACCTGAAATTGGTAAAATAGTAAATATTTGACAGAGGAAGATAACCAGTGTGCTATTGACTCCTCAGAACGACTTTGTAAGAGACAGAAGGCCAGCTGCCAAGGTAACAATTGAAGGGTTTGGTCTGCAGACGCCTTACTGGGGCCCAAATGCACAAGGTTCTAGATCATAAGACACCCCCCTCAGGTGGAGGGTGGAGGGGAGAGGACAGTGATACAGGGCTGGATGGCCCTAGGAAAGGATATGGCAATAGTGCCCAAGCACTTGAGAAGACAAAGAAAGAATGAAAACTAAGAGGAATTTTATAATTTATTTTAAAACAAGCATTTATTGAGCAAGTACTTTGCACCAGGTGGCAGTCTTAGGCTTTGAGTGTTCTCAAAATGTTTATGCTCTGACAGGAGGGACAAGTCCATCCTAGGCACTTAAAGTGCAGCCTAGGAGTGGATGGCCTGTAGCAAGGAAAGATGCGGAAAGGACCTCTAGGGGCTTAGCACTGATGTGCCGCACAGAGGTCTGCACAGCAATAGGGTTCATACTGAGAAAGCCAATTGAGGTTTTGGCTTCTCAAATCTGAGTAAGTACATCAACCCACTAAGCTGCTACTGTTTGTGTGTTGCACTTCTGCATTTTAGAATGTGATGTGCATGGTTTTCAGAGTTTTAGGTTTGCATCACCGCAGTTAAAGTTGGGCTTATGCCAAAAAAGAATACATAACATGCCCTGTTTGAAGGGAAGCAAACACATTATAAGGAGTTTGCCTGTGAGGGAAGACTCTCTACCCTGCAGGACCTGCATGTCCTCAACTGCTGGGAAATTGTGTGACTGAAGCTGTTTGCGCTTTGCTAATGTTGGCAAGTCACTTTCGAAAGATCCCGCAGCATTCACATCCGAAGCCCTTTTTGTAAGACTAAATGTGTGATATTTTAAAGAGAGATCCTTTGTTGATTAGAAAAGTAAGGCATAAGCAAAGCTGGGAGAAATGCAGAAGAGATCTTTTAAGACTTATTTTTATTTTGAATTTCGTGTATGTGTGTGTTTCTGCATGTGGGTGTATGCATATGCGTACAGCCGCCAGATTCCCAGTAACTGGAGTTACAGGGGCTTATAGGCCTGGACTGAGTGCTAGAAACTGAACCCAGCTATTCTGCAAGAGCAATAGAAGCTCTTACCACTGAGTCATCTCTCCAGCCCTGAGGAGATTTTCTCAAAGTCATCTTTAAATGCCATATGTGCACTAGTACACATTATGCCTCAATAGTCCTATATAAAAATGAATAAATAATGTCACAGTAAAATGTAAACTCCTCATGAGTAGGACTGTAATTTATTCAATCAAAAGATGATAAATCAACCCAATACATTTATTCGGCTAGATGAGAGTGACTTATTAATTATTATTAATTATTATCATTATTTATAAATGACTTTAATGAAAATACTAAATCAGACAAAACTAGTTCCTAGGTCGTGTTCCGTCTTTGCCCAAAGTTGTGCAGAATTCTCAGATGAGCCCTAGGATCTGCACCCGTTCAGTATAAACTCTTTCCCTCGGACCCGTGCCTCGCTTCTAGTCAACAGAAATGATAATGAATGTCACTGTTATGATTATGTTACATTATATAAGGTTCTGTGTCAGCAGATTGGAGAGAGAGCTTTCTCTGCTGGCCCCGAAGAAGCAGCTGCGTTGTGAACAGGTGATGGAGAGGGCTGTGTGGCAGGGGACATTAGCAGCAGGCAGATCTGTGGGTGGCCCTCAGCCTATATGCGTACAGTCATAACGAGATGAATGCTGCCAACAGCCTTCCTGAGCTTTACCAAGCTGATTCTTTCCCAGTTGAGCTCCCAGATGAAATGTGGCCTGGCCAATACCCTGCCCACAGCTCTGAGACGGAGCAGGAAATCCAGCTAAATCAGACTATGAGATAACACTTTAAGTATGTGTTAAGCTGCTGAATTTGTGAAAATTTACTACACAGCAATACAAAAACTAGCACACAGGCATCCACTGGCCATAAACTTTTATGTGCACCCTAGCCCATGTAGACACTTTCTTCAGCAATACTTAATGATTTGTTTTTATTTTCAATTACATGCGCACATGTGCATGCCTGTGTGTGTATGTATGTCTGTATGTATGTGTGTGTGTGTGTGTGTGCGCGCGCACATGTGCATGCTCCCCATGAAGGCCAGAAAAAGATGTCGGATTCCCCAGACCTTGACTAGGTAGTTGTGAGTCACTCCACGTGTGTGCTGGGAACCAAACTGGGTCCTCTGCAAGAGCAGTAAGCATTCCTATCCAATGAACAATGTCCCCAGCCCCCTTTCCAATATTAATTAAAACAATGAAAATGGGGGCTATTCGTATCTTTCCACTCTTATTTCCCCAATAATTCTCTGTATTTCAACACATTGGCCTGAAATATGTCATGCATAGTATGGCCTCTGGTTCACTTTTGTCGACCCCATTCTGTCTAACCCAGAATCCCTCCTTTACACCTTGTTCTTTGTCCATGAAACCCGAACTTCTAGACCAAGGACAATTGTTTACACAGTGTTTTTACTTGCATTACTTTTTTTTGCAAGTGGATTATAAACTATCACGAAATCAGTTCTGAAATCCTCTTTCTCAGAAAACATGATATAAATATATGTATGTATATATATATATATATATATATAGAGAGAGAGAGAGAGAGAGAGAGAGAACATATACATAGGATGGTTACAAGCAATATAGGAAACATTTGCAGATATGTGTGTGGCCTTCTCATTAAAATTGTACACTCAGCCGGGTGGTGGTGGCCCATGCCTTTAATCCCAGCACTAGGGAGGCAGAGGCAGGAGGGTCTCTGTGAGTTCAAGGCCAGCCTGGTCTATAGGAGCTAATTCCAGGACAGGCTCTAAAACTACAGCGAAACCCTGTCTCGAAAAACCAAAAAAAAAAAAAATTGTGCACTCATTGAATCCCAAGATTCCAACGTTTACAGCACATCGCTAGACATCCTTTGCATCATCATCACCATTATTATCATCATCGGTGCTGGGGAATCAAACCCGGGCCTCACATGTTCTACTGTGATTCAGCCCTACCCAAAAATAGTCATAGTAAAAATAATGTCACAGAAGTGGTTGAAGTATCACAGGCTGGCCAATGTTTCAAAGCCTGAGAAAGCCCGTCTTTACAAAAAGACAGCTTAGTGGAACCGTTCCAGCGGTAGTATCCTTTTTAAGTAGCTACATGCCGAATACAGCTGAGAAAGCGACACATAAACACTGATCAGGAATAGGACTAAGCTAAAGGAATTCGAGCAAGTCTGGCCAGGAACGAAGTTTGCTGCTACTGAAATGTTTTGGTCTTAGCCACTGGCAGGATTGATTGATTGTAGTTAGCACAACGTTTCTGTGCAGCCTGCCTAAACATCTGTTTCTGTACAATTGTTGCTCAATTCTCTCTTCCTTTCGAATCACCATCTTTGAAGCACAAAAGAAAATCCATCCAAACGACCAAACAAATTACCCTTAACGGCTTCCCAATCCTTTAAAGGAGAATCTGTGCTTAAAGAGGGTCATTTACTCCCCGCCCCTTACCTCCAGCAAGGGTTCAAACTTCAGCTCAGAGGCTTGACCCAAGTCCCTCCCCTTACCCTGTCATCTAATGAATATGCAAATTAAACATAATTGGCAGCCAATGGCGTGGGTCCTGGTCACATGGTACTGATGGTAGGTGAGCAGACAGAAGTTGTGTCAGTGCACAGAGAGGGCTCTCAGTCTGGGGCGAGCGCTCTAGTGAGCGTGGACGGATGCTTTGGCAGTAGTCCTGGCAGCGGCAGCGGCAGGCAGTGGTGGTGGCAGAAGAGGGGAAGAGGGACGGCCCCGAGACCTACACACACTCACACTTTCAAGTTCCCTTGGAGGGAGAGGAGTTGGGGCTGCAGAAAGAGGAGGCCAGGAGCGGTCCCATCTATCCCATTCCATCCCCCCCTTCCTCTTGCTCCCTGGCTCTGCGAGAGTTCAGGATTTGGGTAGCCATACGTGGCAGCGAGGGCAAAGGGACCGGGAGAGTGGGGACCAGAACCAAAGGTGTAGTGGAAGATGCCCATCCTGCTGTTCCTCATAGATACGTCCGCCTCCATGAACCAGCGCACTGACCTGGGCACCTCCTACTTGGACATTGCCAAAGGCGCTGTGGAGTTATTCTTGAAGGTAAAAGGAGGGGAGAGGAGAGATGGGGGTCGCTCCTGCGGGATGGGGGGGTTGGACTGAGGTGCTTCTGTAACGTTTGTATCGCTTCCCCTCGTTTCCTACGCGATCCCTCCGTCATCCCTCGCCCCGCAGCTGCGAGCCCGGGACCCAGCCAGCCGCGGAGATAGGTACATGCTGGTCACCTATGATGAGCCTCCGTACTGCATCAAGGTAAACAGGCCAGCGGGGGAGCGGCGGGCGGGAAGAGCGTGCGCGTCCGCCAGCCTGAGCTGCTGATCCCCTTTTGCCTCCGCCCGTGGCGATTCTGCGTCGCCCTGCGGGACAGGCTTGGGTGCCGGGCGCCAAAGGCCAGGGGGCACAGGGGCGGTCAGAGGCGGCCAGGGGGTCGCAGAGAGGGGCTCGAGAATGGGCAGCCCGTGCAGAGAAGGCACAGGAGGGCCGAGCTCCTAGAGCGACGGCCGCGGAAGATGGCGGACATTTTGCTTTTGTATGAGGCAGCCGGAGGCAGGGTGAGGGCGCTGCTGAGATGGAAAGGAGGGAGGGGAGGAGGCCAAGGAAGGAGGGCTCAAGGCCCTTGGTAAGGCTGTGGCCCCTTCGCCTGGGACTCCGCCCCAACGTGCTCCTAGCCCAGCGCGGGCTTTCCTGCTGCCCGGGCTCCTCCTCTGGACCCTCCTTCCATCCCTCGGCCCGCCCTGCCTGGGCTTCCTCTCCCTCCTCCCGCTCTCGTCCGCTTCTCCTCCACCCCATCTTCCCCTCCTCTTCCTGCCCAGCGCAGGGTGGCACTAGAGCGGGCCTCTGGGAGCTGCTCCTTTGCATTCGAGCCCGTGGACCCCGCCCCCGCCCCTTCTACCCCTCCCGCTCCCCGGCCCCTCCCGCTCCTCCTGCGCCCCCACCCGTTTGGAAATGGTAAGCCTATGCTGCTCCCAGCTCCCAGACCCTGCCTGCTCCTTTCTGCTCTCAGCTCAGTCAGGTTTAGTCCGGCTCTCAGTTACCTTAGCGACCGTTGCTGTTTCATTGGAAATTCCTGCAAAGAAACCACCAAATGTGTGTGTGTGTGTGGGGGGGGGTGTCTGCGCAGAACCTTCTTAGGGAACTGGTTTAACAGGGGCCAGAGGTTCAGGGAGCTGGCCTACCTATTTGCATCCGAAATTAGGTTTGCTCTTAGCTGCATAGGGATTTGCCAAGGGCACGATTGGACTCAGAGCAGATGCACTAGTCAAATTCGATGATTTGATTCGCAGGGGCTGACCCTTAGCCTCCGTCGGGTAGTTTTTTGTGTTCCCATAATGAAGAGATAAAGAACGGGTTTGCCTGTAGTGGCTTGATAAGAGGGACTCAAACTGTTAAATCATCCTGCATGAGGATTGAGCTCGCATGTTGAAATTTTAGAAGGTTGTTACCATTATCCCTGATGTCTTTTGCCAGTGCGTGTGTCCTCTCTCTCCATCCCAAATCATCTCAGTAAATTAAGAGGATGTTCAGTCTGGATGTGTTGTAAGCCTTGGTCTAGTGGGTTGTTCTAATGAAAAATACCTCTCAAGGTGAGTAAGTTAGTCAAAGAATATTCTTTCAGACATAATGAAAGCCAAGAGACTTATTTGGTAAGTCTCAGCTTTGATTAAAAGTTTAATTTGTAGGCTCCTCCTAACCCTATTCTGGCTTTATTGCTTTGTTTTCAATTTTTGTTTAGCTACCCCCCCCCCAAATCGAGCTACTAGACATCTTGCAAAATGCCATATGTCTTTAGAAAATGGCAGCTTTCCAGGCCAGTCTGGGCTAACATAATTGCAAGCATAGGGTTGGAGACCTAAGTTTCAGTGACGGAGGGAGCACTTACAAATAGGAAGCTTTGCAAACATTCTGTCGTCACCAGAGAAAAATAAAATCTGATCAGAGTCCGAATGTTTCCATCTTTTGACAACAGTAAGAGCCTATGCCATTTGTAGTGTGCCTATTTGAAGATATACTCAGTAATTTGAAGCAGTGGAGGGGCTAAGCTACAAAACTGTGGACCTATCTTTTTCTTTTTGTTTTATTTGTCAAGACAGGGTTTCTCTAGCTTTGGAGCCTGTCCTGGAACTAGCTCTTGTAGACCAGGCTGGTCTAGAACTCCCTATCTTTTTCTTTAAAGGTACAACTTAATGAGCATTTTGTGAGGCCTCATAACAGTTCCTAAAACAGTTTTGGAGTTATAGGAATGACATGACTGCCTGTCATGGTATTGCATGCCTTTAATCACAGCACTCAGAAGGCAGAGGAAGACAGATCTTTATGAGTTTGAGGCCAGTGTAGTCAGTGTAGTCCACACAGGAAGTTCTAGGTCAGCCATGGTTATATAGTGAGACACTTCGAGAGAGAGAGAGAGAGAGAGAGAGAGAGAGAGAGAGAGAGAAAAGAATTACATCACAGTTTACAGTCTTTCCTTCCCTTGAAAGGAATAGACTGTTTTGCTCCACTTTGACAGCCATTCTTGTATCTTGTTAAGTCTAGCAGTGGAATCCCGTGGTCCTACTAGTTTCTTCAGTGTGAGGGACACAACTCAGGCCCTTCTGAGTGCTAGGCAAGTGTTCTGCCCTGAGCTACATTCCCAGCCAGTGTGCTTAGTTATACTCTGCTTTCCCTACTTCTTTTATGTAGTGAATTATACTGAGTTGCCACATACTTTGTTTGTTTTTTGGTTTTTCGAGACAGGGTTTCTCTGTGACTTTGGAGCCTGTCCTGGAACTAGCTCTTGTAGACCAGGCTGGTCTCGAACTCACGGAGATCCACCTGCCTCTGCCTCCCGAGCGCTGGGATTAAAGGCGTACACCACCACCGCCTGGTTTACGATGTACTTTTCAATAGCTGTGTATCTTAGGCACTTGTTTATCAGTATTTGTATATGGAACAGAAGAAATTGTTCAATATTATTTTAGTGAAAATTTCTCTTTAGCTCTTTTTATCCTACCACTTTTCATTTTCATTTTTTGCCTTAAACAAGAAGCATTCTCTGTAGACCAGGCTGGCCTCAAACTCACAGAGATCCCCCCGCCTCTGGCTCCCTAGTGCTGGGATTAAAGGCATGAGCCACCATTGCCCAGCTCTCCTTTGATATCTTTTCCCTGTAGGTCAAATGTGAGAAGATACTTAGTATACTATGTTTAATTATTAATCACTTCATCTTAGTCTTTATGCCTTCCCGAGCCTTTTCAGGGTCTTCATTTTATCCGGGTGAAAGGAAAGGTTAAGAATCTAATAATATTCTTGTCCTTCACCAACATTACTATTGATAAATCATATCTGGGTAAGAGTTTTCTGAATTTCTCTTTTGGACACTACCTCCTGCCTAGCCCACCTCTCTCCTCTGCCTGTAAGAACTTAGCTCTTTTGCTTTTTAGGGTTGTAGCTGGCTTAGAAATTCATAAACCTCAGAGCTTCTGGTGATATTTTCTTTGCAAAGTTCAGTATAGATTTTCACTTGCTAGTGCCTGAGAACCCTGTAGGTCTGTTTTCTCTCACACCTGCTAACAAACAGGTCCTTCTCTGATTGTCAGCAGGCATTTTAGTTCCTCCTTGAAACTTCACTGTTTGCTAGGGGCCGGAGGCCCGTGCAGCAAAGTGATGGTTTGCTAGTGTTTTATTGGTAGCAAATTGTTCTGCAGAATAGATGGAGTGAGTCTTATTTTCACGGTCTCCGAGGCTGCAGAAACAGTGTAACAGTTTACTTCTCAGATCTGGATTATATCCAGCTTTGAATGCCTCCAAATGACTTTTATTCTGCTAGCAGGCCCTCTTCTGTTGCAGCTGTAATAGGCATGAATGGTGCATTTGCTTGGGAGATTTCTTTTTAACAGGCATGCAACTCTTCCCAGTATATCCACTTACAAGCTTTGAGACCAAATCTGTGGGAGAAATTATTGCAAGAGTAGTTTTTCACTAACGTGTGCTGTTGGGTATGTAATATATAGCATTTCACCAAAGACGTAGTAACTTTGCATTGCATACCTCTTGGCACATAGCTGTCGGCTCTTTTAATATTGCTCATACCTGTTCCTTTTGCAGCACTCTGTCTGTGGGTGGAATTAAGCTTGGTTTAGGGACCACATAGAATTGAAAATATCGTGTGTTAAATCTGTGTTAGTGTTGCTTTGTAGACATGTTTCATACATTGTGTTACAAGTATTAACACTATATATATATATATATATATATATATGTGCAGTATATTTTCAGTGTACATCGCTAGGATACCACTGTTTAGTATTTCGTAATTTCCAGTGTGTCCTTAGAAGAAGAATATAGTACAGGGCTGTAAAAATGTTGTGTGAGGGGTTTTGTGGCATAGTTCTTAATGGTCTTGGCTGAGATTCTGCTGTCTTGTATGTTTTGTTTTGTTATGAATCATAATTTCTGTTTATTCTGTGACCGAGAGAGGCGGGCTTGTCAGAGGCAAGCAAGCCATTAGCCTGAGCTCTCTCCTACTAAAAGTATTCAAAGTGGTTTCATATTGGAAGCTACTTTATTAAAATTATTTTTATTTATAGGAAATTATTTTTAACATAACCCAGAATCGCTTTTCCCGAAATAGTTGAAATACATGTATAAATAGTGGTCAGAAGTATGTTATAAATAAGAGGAGGTAATGTTTCAAAGAAGCCCTCTAAAGCAGTAATTAGAAAACATACCCCATTGAAAAACGTGAGCGACTGTCTTGGGTGTCGCTCTCTAATGCATTGGGTAGCTACTTTTGCGTATTGGTGTCTGCATGCCTTTGTCAATAGGAACTGGAAAGCAGAAGAATTCTGGCCTATAGACTAAGGAAGTAAACTAAAGTTTTTAAGAAATGATACCTGTAACAGACATTTCTTAGGATTTTAAGTAGGTGATTACAGGATCAACTCTTTTTTTTTTTTTTGCGGGGGGAGTCAATATGGAGTTTCTTTGTATAACAGTCCTGGCTGTCCTGGAACTCGCTTTGGAGACCAGGCTGGCCTTAGAATTCAAGAGATCCATTTGCTTCTGACTCTCAAGTGCTGGGATTAAAGACGTGCAGCACCGTGGCCTGCCTAAAGGGGCATCTTTTAAGGGAGTCCTCTATTATGATGACTAAGACTCTGTAGAAATGTTTTTGGGGGTGAAATAGCAGCAACCTAACCTGTGAGAGCCATCTTAGGTAATAATGCAAGACACTTTTCAAACTCAAAATCCCCAAATGCTCAAAAGCAGCACAC